GGGGTCGGGACCCTTTAAGCGCAGCCCTCGGCTAGCCTGAGACAGCATCTCCATGCTCTAAGTCCTCCTCTTATGCCCTGCCGGCACTGCTTCCGGCCCTCCTTAAGCCCTGTTCAGAGTCCACTCAATGTGGACTTGCCTGTTCGAATTAGCAAAACGCTAATTCGAACTAGTTTTTAGTTCTAGACGCGTTAGTTCGAATTAGCTTAGTTCGAATTAACTAATTCGAACTAAGTTAGTTCGAACTAACTCTGTAGTGTAGACATACCCTCCCTTATCTCCCCCTTCCCAGGAGGCTTGAGAGTGCTGAGTTTTTGCCTCTCTCTTCTCATGCAGAGGGATGCTGTAAACTCCCCTCTTCTCTGACTCATTAGCCAATTAATTAATCACTCCTCCCTCCCAATGCCCCCAGCTACTAATGGTTTCCTTATCTCCCTTTTATGATTCTTGGACCTCCTCAGTTCAAGCAGGCAGCTAGCTCCTTTTAGCTGCTTGCTCAGTGAGATGTCCCTCCTGCCGGCAAATCAGCTGAGCTTGTTGCCAATATGGGACCTTCGAACTTCTGAGCACAGCTCAGAAAACTGCTGCTCAGGCATGCAGCTTACAAGGAACCTTGCTCCCCCACTCGTCCCCATGGGCGTGAAGTACCAGGGGAGTGAGATGCCTGTTGGGGACCACATCAGCAAGGGTTGGGGGATTGTTTTGGTGAGGAGGTTGCCTTTCACTTGTGTGGTCCCCAAATTATTTGTCTGTGGATCAGTGGCCAGTGACACACAAAGGGTTCCCCACCCCTGCCATAAAGACACTGAAACCTTTTGTTTTGGACATAAATTATTTTTTTTTACTTTATTTAAAACAAACTGACATTTTAAAGTTAAAGCGCTTAATTTGGGGTGGGGGGCAGTGCCCAGGGTTTGGGTGGAGACCTGGGGACATTTTTAAGTTAAATAGCTTAATTTGGGGGGGGGGGCAGTGCCCAGGGTTTGGGTGGAGACCTGGGGCAGGGAGTTGGGGTGCAGGAAGAAATGGGGTGTTAGAGACAGTGTCTCGCTGGAAGACACTTACCTCAACGGCTCCCAGCCACCAGCCCAAAGGTTTGGCAGGCAATTTTACCTGCCCCTATCTAAATAGACAAAAGTGAGAGGGGAGGATTATTTCCATTTTACGAATAAGGAAGATGAGACCCAGGACATGTCTAGACTGCCCACAGCTTTCGAAGGAAGATATACAAAATCGGTGTGCATTTGCATATCTTCTTTCTATCCTGTTTTCGGAAGAGTTTTTGGGAAAAAAAGCCATTTAGACATGGTTCTTTTGGGAAAAATCCAACCCCTTTTTTGAAAGAACCCTTCTTCCTAAAAAAAGGTGTAAAGGATTCTTTCAAAAAAGGGGTTGGATTTTTCCCAAAAGAACCATGTCTAAATGGCTTTTTTTCCCAAAAACTCTTCCGAAAACAGGATAGAAAGAAGATATGCAAATTCGCGCCAAATTTGCATATCTTTTCAAAGCTGCAGGCAGTCTAGATGTGTTCCCAGAGAGAGGGGTCTTGGGCAAATTACAATCACACAGGAAATCTGTGGCAGAGTTGAAAGACTAAAACTAGATATCAAGAATTGATTTCTTTGATAAGGTGTCATTTCTTTCCCTTAAATGTCCTTGCTGGTTAATTTGCTTTTAATATATTTAAAAATATTTCATTCTTCTTTGTGGCTGTTTGTCCCACAAAAACAGAGAAGCTTGGTATAAAGTGATGACAGTAACAATTCGTACATCTGCCAGGACTTTGCATGTAGTCAAAGTAAATAGAAAGAAGTGCAGTTATAATTATCCTAGGTATTGTAGTATAGTTTTCAAGTAAGTGTCTTTTTATAGGTTTCAAGCTGATTTGTAAATATTGTTATATTTTACTAGAAATGTGTAACCTTTTTGGACTTTTGTTAGACATCTGTCACCAGATTCTGGATCTGTACTCGCAAGGGAAACAGCAAATGCCTCATCATACTCCACACCAGCTACAGCAGCCACCATCCCTTCAATCTACACCTCAGGTGCCTCCAGTCCTACAGTCGCAGCAATCTCAAAGTTCAGAGCAGTCACAGACACAGCAGCAAAAAGAGTCCCAGCAGTCAGTGCAACAGCAGCAACAAACACAATCTAAGAAACCCTCTCCTCAGTCAAGTCCTCCAAGGCTGGCTAAACGTCCAGCGGTAAGTTTAACTGAACATAAGTTGTGAACAGACTTCTAATTTAGAGCGGGAACAGTTGTTTCCTTGGCTAAATTTAAATTATGCTCTGAAAAGTAAGTGTAAAATATCACCTTATTGCATGTTGGATTTTTTTTTCTTGCTTTATTGAGTTGAGACCTATTTATTTTAGTACCAAAATAAGTTTTGTTTGTTTGTTCTTGTCAAGATCACAGGGTCAGCACCTCTCCTGTGCATTGTCAACAGAACAGTTTGCTCTGTTCTATTCAGTTAGGCCTATGTTCCTCAATTGATGTCTGAGAGTTTGCCCAGGTGTTACTGATAAAATCACTTGATCTGCAGAAACTTTATTTTAAGTGTTGATGGATGAGAGAGGGAAAAACTCCAGGATTATTTTATATAAAACCCCTGTCCACAGTGAGCCAGGGCACTCAGAGAACAAAGGCTGCTCCACAGCAGCCTTCCCTGCCCCTGTGCTGCTGCCTATAGGGTTCGGGGGAGCTCCAGGGAGCTAGCATGTAAGGAGAGCCGGCTTAGAAGCTTGTTTTCTACACGTATCAGCTCTCATCTTTCTCCATGCCCTGCGCACTGCTGCCTCTGATAGAGGCAGCAGTGTGTGGGGATGGGAGGGCAGGTGGCTCATGTGAGCCAATATGCACAGGGAGCCAGCTTAAAAGCTGGCTTTTTGCATGTACCGGCTCCTGCATGTCCCTCTCACTCTCTGCGCTGCTGCCTCTTATCAGAGGCAGCAGGGGTTTGGGGGAGACAGCCCTGCGGATCCAGTGCTTGTGGGGAGCAGGCTTAAAAGCCGGCTTTCTGTGGCACCAGCTCTCCCCGTCCCCTCCCCCTCTCCACCCCTCACCTCTGAAATAGAGGCAGCAAGGCGAGAGAATGTGTGTAGTTGAAAGAATGTGCATAGGCTTATCAGTTAATTGTGTACTCAACTACACGTTGCCATCCCTATTACAAATCTCTAGAGAAAACATTTTATGAAGTTATAGAATCATTTACCCATAAAGTAAGCTGTAAGAAAAAATTTAATTTAGTTCCATCTCAGAAAAAAAAAATTGCAGTATTTGCTGAATGGCACTAGTCAAGTTAAGTTCTTTGGCCAAGATCCTATAGTAATGGGGAGGCAATGTGTGCATGGTTAGAGAAAGCAGAATATCAGTGGTTGTGTCTTAAAGACTACCACTGACCGGGCAGCATGGCTCAGAATGGTCTTCAGGAATGTAGTTGTATATCTGTGTTTGTAAAGTATTGGTGCAGGAGTGTTGGTGGATCTTACAGGAGCTCTGTAACTTGCCTGGTTCTGCTAAGGAATTTACATTCTCAATAAGATTATGTGCTCATTTAAATTCCTGTTAGATTTACTGAATTTCTTAAACTCCATTGGATTGAGATGGAGAGGGGGAAGCACAATAAACCAGAGATAGACCTAGAAATAGAGCCCACATCTTCTGTCTCTCAAGTTAGCAGTCTGTCCACCGGACCATGATGCTGCTTCAGGAGATTATAAATAAGTAAAATTAGATGCAAGCAGTAAAAGACAAGAATTACACAGGAGCTCTGTGTTCTCACACAATAGATGCATTTTTCAATCTCTTTATACTCTCACGTTCTTAACCTTCAACTCTCCCAGCCAAATCAAATTATCCACACCCACTTCATATTGCCTGATTCAGCATTCTTTGTGTTTAATGCGTCTTTCAAAAGCTTTGGAACATAACAACCATTTTAGTTTCTTTAAAAAAAAAAAAAAAAAAAAAAAAGCAGCAGCAGCTTAGGGCTTGTCTAAACCACAGTTCTTACACTTGAATTGGAAACATTTAAATTGATGCAAAACCTGTGCATGTACTAGACCTTAATAAACTCCATTCTATTAGTACTAGCAGTATGTGTTTGCTAATTACATATTCATTTTTTTAGTTATTCAGATTTTAAAAGTTTCAACAGGTAGCCGAGTTAGTCTGTACAACAGTATAAACTAAAGAAACAACAAATGGTATGTTAGCACTTTATAGACCATTGGTTCCCAAACCAGGGGGCATGCAGAAATTCCGGGGGGGGGCCTGAGGTGACCCAGCAACCTCCCCCCCAGTCAATCCCACCCCAGGTTTTGCTGCTACAGTATTTGGGGGGGGGGTTGAGGGTTTCTCAAAAATCAAAAAGGGGGCGTGATGCCGAAATGTTTGGGAACCACTGTTAGACTAACAAAACATGTTTTGTTAGTCTATCAGATTTTATAGTGTATGGATCTAATCTAGATATGTGAATTTTTTTTTTTTTTTAAACAGGCTGTATCTCCCAAAGAAGAAACTAAGACATCAGGTAGTTATTGTATCTCTTTAAAATGTTTATTATCTTTCATTTTTAATAAAAACTGCTACAATCATTCTCTGCACTTTCTAAAATTGTTGGTTAGTTTACTTGTAGGTCTATAAGTAACACTGGTTGGTTGGTTTTTATTATGCAGGCTTAAATACCAGGTTTTTTTAATGGATGTTTGGAAGTACATTAAAACTGTTACTAAAGCATAGTTCATTTATGATTACAGAAATAGGCTGCTCAGTAGAACTATTAATATTATGAACGCCATCTCCATTATAACTTAAATTTCTAACAAATAATTGGCATAGCTGGCCATTTGTACCCAAACACAACAGTTAATTTGTGCAAGTAAGAAAGTTAACCATGTTTTTCCCTTGTCAGAGAGTTAGCCCATCATATGATTGTCTTCCAGCATCCACTTTGTAAAAGTTACTTTGCGGTACTTTCCAACCATGCCTCTGTAATAAGTGTGGCTAGTTCTGTATTAAAGTAATAATTTTTCATATAATCATGTTTAAAACTTGTTGACATACCCTAATAATCCTTGGTGCTATTTATTTTTATGCACAGCACTAATTTCAATTAGTATGATATTTAAGTAATAATCTGTGGTAGTGCCAGAGTCTCCAAACAAGTTGAGGGCTCATTGTATGCAGCATTGTACAATAGCGCCTCACTTAACATCATCCTGGTTTACATTGTTTTGCTGTTATGTCCCTGATCTATTAGAACATAGCCGTTTAAAGTTATGCAATGTTTGCTTATAATGTTGTTTGAATGCCTGCTAATAGGTAGGAGCTTGGAGCCAGGGTGGGCCAGCACCACCTACCTGCTGTGGATCAGCATCTCCACCCTTCCTTCTGCAGCAATCAGCTGATTTGTGGGGCCCAGGAGGTTGAGGGGAGCAGTGAAGATGTAGCATAAACCTTCCCCATCGCTCCTGAGGGCTTTCTGAACACCCTGAAACAGCTGATTGCTCTGGGTGGAAGGTGCACAGCCTGCCCTCTTTTTCCCCAGGCTGTTGCCTGCAGCAGCCAGCTGTTCTGTGGTATTCAGGAGGCATGGGGTAGGAATGAGGATGCCCTTGAAAGGAGGCATGAAGTGGGAGTGGGCCTGGATCCGAGTCCAAGTTTGAGCGCCTGTTGGCACTTTGGAAAGTCAGTACCTACACAGCAGGGCATTATCTAGGAAATATCTCACTTGATACCAACATGGTTGCTTTAGGAAAAGCTCAGAGAGTTCACGAGTAGGTCCTCAGGTAATCCTGAATTTACAGTTTAAAACTCATACTGTATGGCTACGTCTAGACTGGCATGATTTTCCGCAAATGCTTTTAACGGAAAAGTTTTCCGTTAAAAGCATTTGCAGACAAGAACACTGACCATCTCATGTAAGAAATCAGTGCTTCTTGTGGAAATACTATGCTGCTCCTGTTCGGGCAAAAGTCCTTTTGCGCAAAAGGGCCAGTGTAGACAGCTCAGATTTGTTTTGTGCAAAAAAGCCCCGGTTGCCATTTTCGCGCAAAAGCGCGTCTAGATTGGCACGGATGCTTTTCCGCAAAAAGTGCTTTTGCGGAAATCGTCCGTGCCAATCTAGACGCGCTTTTGCGCGAAAATGGCAACCGGGGCTTTTTTGCACAAAACAAATCTGAGCTGTCTACACTGGCCCTTTTGCGCAAAAGGACTTTTGCCCGAACAGGAGCAGCATAGTATTTCCACAAGAAGCACTGATTTCTTACATGAGATGGTCAGTGTTCTTGCGGAAATTCAAGTGGACAATGTAGACAGCTGGACACAGCTATATGTATATGTCTCAGAGAAAATTTTTTTCCCTGGGAACTCTGCCACCTACCTCCTCCCCCTTTACATTAATTCTTATATGGAAATTGGATTTGCTTAACATTGTTTTAGTTAAAGTCGCATTTTTCAAGACCATAACTACAACGTTAAGCAAGTAGTTACTGTACAAACATAATAAAATAATCGTTATTCTAAAGCCCATCTGGATTTTCAATCTTAGTCTGCTGATGGAGCCATGACTAAACTTACATTTTTGTTGATTGGGGTTTTCATATGTCTTTTTTCAGAACCGCCACCATCTAAAATTCCTAAAATTGAGACTTCACACCCACCAATACCACCTGTGCACCCACCTCCAGGTAAGCTTTTATTAAAAGTTAATTCCCAGCATGCTATTTTTTTATTTAATATTTTTCTTCCGCTAGTATGGGCTAAAAGTGTCTCCTATTTTAATAAAATATATTGAAGAAAGGTGATGAAATATTTGATAGTGTAACTAAACAATCTGTGCATAAGTAAGATAGTGGCTGGAAGACTTGTTTCATATTTGAGATTCAGTATTTTATTAGTTAGAGCAGTGTTTCCCAACTTTATTTGGCCATGAAACCCTTTTGAACTTGAAAGAATTTTGCGGAACCCCTAATAAGCGTCTTGTATATGAAGCTGAAAAAGTAGACCACAAATAAGTAAGGATACTAAACAAATGCTAAACAAGCTCACGAGATCAACATTTAGTTTAATTTCACATATATAAATTGACTATGATAGATTAATCTTTGTCACGGTTACATTTTTAAATATAAGAGATCACACGCTATAATGAAGTAAAGTATTTGCAAGAGCACTACCTGCGCACTCCCATACAAGCAACTGGTTTGACAGCTGAAGCTTTGACTTTGTCTGACGCAGCACTGAAAGTGAATATGGGAATTTATGGTGGTATATAACAGGCGATCGCACCACTCACTCACTGCACGCGCAGCACTGAGTAGTGACATTATCATCCCCACTCTGGCATTACACAGGGACACTGCTCATGGAAAACAATTCATAAATACTTGAATACTAATTTTTTTAAAAAAAATCATAAAATGTTATTGTAATGGAATTTTCTCCTGGAATCCTTATTTTCACTTTGGGGAACCCCAGGGTTCCATGGAACACCATTTGGGAAATACTGGGTTAGAGGTGGTAATATCAAAGCTGATTTACAAGAAGTTTTGGAAAAATTCAGGCCAATTGGAATTTGAAAATATTAATTGAGAGAGTTTATGATTTGTGGTTTCACCATTAACTTTAGTGGGCACGATCTTCGTAACCTTGAATCCTCAAGTTTGCAAAGTATTCTGTTCCATTGTGATAATCTATAGGGAAACTTATCAAGCACCAAAAAATATAAACCATAGAAATATAGACCTGGAAGAAACCTTGAGTGGTTTTCCTGGAATTGAAGGGATACCTACAACATCCTTAACTGTATTTGTTTAACCTGTTCTTATAAACCTTCAATGACAGTGATTCTACCACTTCTCTTAGTAATCTATTTGAGTAGAAAATAGAGGCTGGTTTCTCTACAATTAAGTATGGTGAACAGATCCTGCTTCTCCTGTCATAAAACAATGGGCACTTCTTTTGGAGTACGGTATGTGCAGCTATGATGCATATATCAGATTTATATGAATTATTTACAACAGTCCTCACATTTTCATTGAAATTTTATATGGGAGAGGGGAGAAAAAGCTGACTTTGTTCTTCTTTATAGTGCTACGCACACACCTTGCCACTGTGTTCTTCTATCTCTTGTTGTCCCCTCTTAGGAGCTGTCATTTTAGGTTTCATTCTTATAGCAAGCACTATCAAATATTTATGTCTCATCTCAGGGTCAGTGGAAGGACAGCTAATGTATCAAGGCACTGGAAACACAGTACTACAATTTCTTTCACAAACATATGGCATTTTGGAGCATTACAGGGTTCTCTGGCAGATCAAGCCCTCTTTTGGGAAATCAGTGAAGGGAAAGAATCAGTGAACCTTCCTGGTTGGCACTATATAAAAATTAGGAACTGTGTTCAAGTGTGTATACCACATGTGGGATTGTATGAGGCAATTTGAAACTACTGTCTGATGCTAGTGTAGCACCTGTCACCCTTTTATGAACACCATGCAATAGTTAATTATTTTATATATTACCGCTCAACAACTGAACTCCTTAAAATGCAGGATTTCCTACAACAGTTGTGACCAAATAGGAACTTTCATTCATCCTATTTTCAAGTATTCACATATCTTTTATGGACAGTAATACAGTGGGAATCTGGTTAACATCTGGAATATCCACTGCAGGTAGTACGAGAAGTAATGGGCTTAATCTGCAGCAAGGGAGATGTAGCTTTTAGGAAAAACTTTTGTCCATCTTCAGAACTAATTCAGAGCACTTGTTCTATAGTAAAAACTAGCATGTGCAGGCTTGTCCTCTCTTTCTGTCTGTCTGTCATTTTAGTTATCCGTTGGGCAGCAGTGAAATGGTAGCTCTGCAAACTTCTCCCCTTATATGATGTGTAGTAGCACTTAAGAGGTTTACCCTATACCCCTGGCAAAACTTTAATTGCTAAATGGTGTTTTCCCACATACCCCCTTCTCCTCTGAGTGATCCTTACCAGCACCAAACACCCCTATTTGCTCTAATATAGCTTTTTCATTGAAAAGATGTCTTGTACTTTATGAAAGTGATTTTATCCTGCATACAAACAGGACATGTGCCTTAGCTTTAAGTAACAAGCTTATTTCCATCGGTCAAGCATTTTAAAAGTGGCTACTGTAGATTCTGAAGTTACTGCCATTGGGTTCTGTCAGGAGGAGATGCTTGTCTCCCCTTAGTTCAAACCAGCTTTGATCTTATTTTTAACTCTTTACTTCACCCCCAACTCTTGTCCAATCAACCTGAAGTTTCATGGGTGCAATCTTGTACCAGTTTAAGATTTTTTTTTTTCTTGTTTTGAGATAGGGAAAGGTGGTAATAGAAATTAGACAGTGTATGGGAGAAGAATGCTCAGATAAAATGACCCAAATTTTGTCACCCTTTCCTAATGCTTGCCAGTTTCATGGTCTCAAATCTGTATAAGTCCCTTTCATGTGGAATGGTTGCACTTAAACTAATATTCTGGCTAGTTTTTTCCACTGCCTCTCCTCTTTAGCTGATTTTTCCTTTGCATCTAGCTTTTAGGATGTGGGACTTACTGTAAGGGATAAAGCCAAACATAAAGTGGTGTCTGTCAGTTGTGACCAGATATTATCAAATATAGTTAGTGCTCAGAGATCTAGAACCCAATGGAACAGGGCCTACAGTGAGCCTGCTGTTTCTGCAAGTATGGTATGCACGATCTTACAAAACAGACCTGATAATAAAGTTAAATTGCAAAGTAACACATTGTGTTTTAGGAGGTTTTACACAGCCTCCATTTTCAAAAGCCTTTCATTTTCAAACCATAGCACAGGGCTACTCAACTTTGGAAGCCCCTGGGTGCCACAATGATACAGCACATGCTGAGGGCTGCAACTTAAGCATGGTTGCATGTACATGCAGATAGCTTTTCATACTGAGGCATGAATACAATTAATGTAAAACTTCACAACATGCAAGTCCCATTTAAGTCAAAGTTCTACTGATATTAATAAAATGCAATATTTACCTGATTTCCTCCCATATGACAGCACTTTTCATGAGCAATTGTGGAATACAGGCAGTCCCCGACTTACGCGGATCCGACTTATGTCGGATCCGCAGTTACGAACAGGGCTCGCCCCGGAGAACACGGAATGCGGGACCTCACGGCCCTGCCGCCCGTGTACTCGGGGGCTTTCTCCGCATCTCCCTGGTCTACAGACCAGGAAGACGCGGAGCAAAGCCGCGGAAGGGCTTTGCAAAGCCTCGGGGAAGCCGGCAGCGGAGCAGCACAGGCGCGCCTGGGCTGCCTCGCTGCCCGAGCTTCCACTGGAGGAAAATAGGCCTCGGAGCAGCCCAGGCGCCCCGCAGCTGTCCCACTGCTGGCGTCCTCAGAGGCTTTGCTCCCCGTCTCCCTGGTCTGCTGGTCTCCAGCAAACCAGGGAGCCGCGGAGCAAACCCCGTTAGTAACTGCGGATCCGACATAAGTGGGATCCGCGTAACTCGGGGACTGCCTGTATAAGTAAAATAAATACTTTAAAATAGTGTTATTAAATAAATATATACTTAATTTAAAGGTATACCCCCAATTTTCATTTGAGCATGGTTACAAAAATGTAACCAGTAGGATTTGGTCTAAATCCTACTGAAAATAATCTTAGATAAAATTTTCAAAAGCTCTGCAGTCACTTAAGAATATAAACCCTATTGAAAGTGGGTCCAGTGCTTCTCAGTCAATAACACTGTTTTGAACACTTACCAAAGGTGCTTAAATACAAAATTAGGAGTCTGACTTTAGGCACATGGGGCTGAAAAATTTGGCTTTCACCCCTAACTAATGATGTGGTGAGAACTGATATTCTGTATCTATCCCCCATTGAAGTTTATAAACTATTACCTGGTTTTGATGTCTTTTCTTCTTTTTTGACTTCAGATTCTGAGAAAAATGTTTTAAAGATTTTAGAAGTTAAAATTACAAAATAATTTCAGTTTCTGTCCCAGTTTTGTTACTCAGCTTTTTACCATCTCTATTTTGAAATTTTCCAGTTCTGCACTGGGATAAAGTTGAAACTTGTTAAAAAAATAATCAAAGGAGAGACCTTCCTACATAATAACACACTTCATTAAGACACCTATGACTAGTTGTGATGAGGTACCCTTGCTGATGACAAAGGTACTGTACAAAGGTAGGGAATTAGCCTTCTTCCACTGGAGGAAAATAGAAGCCCCAAAACAAATTAACACATGGCTTCAGTGTTTGTTGACATTTGTAAAGCTCTTTGAAACATGCAAATACGTCCTGCAGCACCTACAATTCACTGTTTTCAGCTACAGACTCACACAGCTACCCTTCTGAAAATGCTAATGGCTTAAAGAAAATATTCTTTTAACATCTATATGCAAACTTTGGTTGGTTGGTTCTGGACATCCAACACTCTGGTCATGTGAAGAAGTGGGCTGTGCCCATAAAAGCTCATGATACCATCTACATGTTTTGTTAGCACTTTAAAGACTAACAGACTGTTTGCTGTTTTTTAAGTTATTCCTGTGACAGACTAACTCAGCTACCCCTCTGAAGCTTTTGTTTGAAATATAATCATGCAGATATCCTCTTCTTTCTCTCTTCTCCAAACCAGCCTAACTGTGGACTGCAGTGAGTCAGATGCCCCAAACTGCCCTCTGACTCTCTCCCCTTACTGCACAGATGCCAGCACTTAATCACTCCCTCTTTCTCCCACCTGCCATGTGGTCAGCCCCTTTACTTCCCCCTGCTTAGCCCAGGAGGATTGAAGAGACTGACAAGTCTTGCCCCCCCTCCCCCCCTCCGCAGATGGGACTTCCCCTAAAGCCAATTAATTACTGCCTCACTGCCTTCTCCCAGCTACTCATCAAATGTTTATCTGCTGATTGTCTTCCCTGTGGCAGGCAGCATTTAGCTGCATTTGCAGAGGCCCAGACTCAGCTGATCCCTCTGCCTGCTGGGGAGCTTTGAACAGCAGAGTGGCTGAGGCCGCCCGCGCAGCTTAAAGGGAACTTTAGTGCAAAGCCCTAAGAGCTCCAAGCCCCCAGCTGCCTCCTGTGTGTGAAGGTTCCTTAGTCCCAGTACTGCCTCTTCTCACCACTGCTGGCTGGCACAGCCCAACCTGCTGCCAGGGAAGTGCGGGAGCACCTGCACCTTGCACCAGGACAGCCTGCCTGGTCTGACTGAGCCCTGCTCAGCCCAACCTGCTGCCTACCCCCCTTGGGACCAACCTAGGGAGCGCTGCTCTTATTAGCTCCTGCGTGTAGCTCTGTGGAGGAAGGGGAGCGTTTGCTTCACCTCTTCGCCTGCTGGCCGGAGCTGCTTTTGCAGCCAACTGCCAGGCTGCAGCAGCAGTGCAGCCTTCTGTCTGCGTGGAGGTGGCGGGGGGTTAGCTCCTGCCGCGGACCCCATACTTTGAGACCCACTGCCCGGGCCACCTGTTGAGTAGCCCTGCCATTGCATATACTGTGACCTTTTGTAAACTTCCCCATAATCTTATTAGAACTTACTGGGCTGATTGAGGCAAACAGAGGAATTGAAGCTGGTGTAGAAATTGAAATCCCAACTCATCAAAAGAATTCCTTTCATTGTGCCACACTTGTATTTATCTGATTTGTTTCCTTGAATAAAGATCTTGAAGGCAATGTCAGCACAGGCCTTTGGAAGTTTTGTTTTTAAGTCTCTGCTGGTCACTGCATTTAGTCACAACTATTTGTTCATCTCAGCACTGTGGAAGAAATAAATATTAAGAATAAGGTGTTTTTTTTTAATACTGTGGGGTATCTTCAGTTTCTTCTGTGTTTTGAGCTTGGGTCTTACTGCATGTGACTTCCATATGTTTTTAGCTGTGGAACAAAACAGGAAGACAGCAGACTTCAATGTGCACCATGTTAACTTTTGGGGAAGAGCATAGCAGTGTAGGTAATTCATATTGCTGTGCTACAGAAAAGTAAATGAAGGTTTTTTTTGTCTGTTACAGAACGTAAGCTTCCTTTGACAACTGCAGTTTCAATGGGAGAAGCAGAACAAAGTACTACAGTGGATTCTGTAGACATACCAAAAGTCCAGATTCCTCCTCCAGCTCATCCTGCACCAGTACATCAGCCACCACCTTTGCCTCATCGTCCACCACCACCACCACCTTCCAGCTACATAACTGGGATGTCCACTACAAATTCTTACATGTCAGGGGAAGGTTATCAGAGTCTTCAGTCAATGATGAAAACTGAAGCTCCAACCTATGGAGCTTTGCCACCAGCTTATGGACCACCAACTCACTTGCCGTATCATCCTCACGTGTATCCTCCTAACCCCCCTCCACCTGTTCCTCCTCCGCCTACATCATTCCCACCTCCTAATATTCCACCACCTACTCCTGGGTACCCTCCTCCACCTACGTATAATCCTAACTTCCCACCTCCAAGACTGCCTCCCACTCATCCACCTCCAGGGCTGGGAATGCCCCCAACCAGTTATCCCCCACCTACAGTTCCCCCTGGTGGACAACCACCTGTACCACCTCCAATACCACCACCAGTTATGCCGCCAGTTGCAGGACTTGGACGTGCTACATGGATGAGATAGCATGAGAAAGGTGTACAGTAACTTTGAGGAATAGTTTAACAGGCACAAATTAATAGAGCAGTAACCATATTGTGAAAATAAATAGGAAGGTAATTTGTATAATCTAGATTCTGGTATAGTATATAAAGACATGGAACAGTGAAATGGAATCTTAGTTGACCTACTTACAGTAGTATTGTTGATGACAAGATATATAGGCTTTAATATAGACACAGCAGAGCTAATTAATCTAACTGTATGATTTAAACTAAGTTGTCTGGCTTAAATTGTCTGAGTTATTTCAGCACTGGATTACTTTGTACTTAGTGAATTTAACCAGCCATATTGGCTCACTTATATCAGTAAGAAGTTCTTCTAGAAATCAGTGCCTACTTTTATGTATCAAAATTAGTCAGATATCCTGAAGTTCCATCTAGACTTAAAAAAAAGCATTGTCATTAAGTAACTCTGAGATGCTTAATGTTAAGCATCAGAGCTACTTTATTTAATATGTATATATTTACAACCCCTAGCTGACAAATAATTTTGAGATGTTTGTTTTGGAATGTACTGGTATCTTGAAAAATTAAATGTTTACACCTATTTGCAAATTCTTGTACATAAATATATATTTTCTAAGTGTGAAAATCTGAATGTAACAGCATACTGTGATTTACACCTGGGTTAAAAATAGGACTGCTTCATTCACTTGTACCCAAATAAATAGGAGCTGAATTTAATGGATTTTCCAAGTTATTTCAAAAAAAATTTCCCATTAATAGTCTAAAAACTACTGTTCATGTTTATGCTGATAAAAGAAATCTTATGTAGGTGTCTTACATTTTATACTAACTCATTGAAAGAATTGTTCAGCAGTGTTCTATCAAAATTCAGAAACATCACAGCTCACTTACGAAGAATGTACTTTATTTTATTCAACTGAAAGTATACACTATCACAATCATACTTCATTTTTACTAAAATATTTCAAATGAATGTTTTACACATATCAAAAATCTGATTACTATTCCCTCTCCCCCCCCCCCCCAAAAAAGCCAAAGTGGTTCAATAAAAGGTATAAATGCGTGCTACTGTCTAAAGATTTTGCTATGTACACAACAGCGGGTGCTAATTTATTCCAGTTTCTTTTGTAAATCATATACAGGAGGAATGTAAGATCACATTTAACAGAAATCAAACTTCAAACTGATTTCCCAAAGCAGCTCAAATAGACTTTCCTCGCATTATGAAAAATATACAATTTTATCACTTTACAGTCATGCACTTTGAAAAAGATCAGTAGTACTTTTTCCCCCTTCCCTCCCCAGTTTCTAAAAAGATAAAAGGTCACTTTAACACTGATTGATAGCTAATATTTGGATAAAAGTGTGCCATTCTCAAAGTTGGGTTCAGCCATGAATCACCTGAAGTTGGTTACACCATAGCATTTCAAAATGTTTGTGTGAAAATGCTTGTAAGTTACTCACTCAAACCTTAAGGGCAAGATTCTGCTTCCTTAAAGTGAGCAAAACTCACTTGAAGTCAATGAAAACTTTGTTTCAGGGCTGCCTAATTTGCAGCTTTTAAATATACTGGGGACAGTAACCCCTTGTATGTAAATTTCATAGCCATCATTTGGGGGAGGGTGTCCCTCCAACTTACTATAGAAAGTTTTTTCAGGTAGATTTCACAGTAGACCTAGAGCATAATAAAGAGTGGATTTAAATGTGCATATAAAACATGTTTTTAGACAACTGAAAGTTTAGCACCCAAGTCATTCTGTAGCGTCATTGAGTGTCATTTTCCCCAAGGAAGATACTTTAGCTCAAATGGAGCTAAATACCAAGTAGCAAACTTTAAAAAAATTACAGCACTAACTTTCATGTACCTCTATAAAAATCTACAATGCACAGCTTTTGCATATGGGACTTGTGCTACCAAGTAGAATCATACAAATATAATTCTACCCTACTTGTATAAAGGTAGTAGTTTAACTAAGACTGTCCTCTAAGCCAGCTCTCTAGGGTATACAGGCCATAGGTTTAGTGCTGTTTCCCTTTTAATTTAAAAGTTTGAGATCTGCAGAAGAAACCAGAATAGGGGTGGCCCTGGAAGCCACAATTAAGAATATATTTGGATGTGTTGGTCAGAGCTAATGAAAGTAGTAAACCGGCTAGTTGTGTTGAGAGAGCTCATTCACTGCTTGGTTGTTAGGCTAATCAATTTGGAGACCAGCAAGCATATTATCAATGCAATTAATGCTCTACAAGCTTTACTGGCAACACTTCTGCTGCGTTAGTTGAAATTTGTTGAACTAAATCAATTCTGGACACTAGCATAATTACAATGGCCTTTCATATGGATGGACTAAGCAGCCATATATACATCTGCTAGCTCAGAGGGGAAACCTTTTATTTGCTGCCCTACTCTGAAAGTGCTTTTGTCCCTGCTCTTTATGTGAAGAAAAATCGCAGAAGATAAGTAAGAAAAGGAACTGCTGGATATAGTCTATACTAACAGGCCAAAAAAGGGCAAAATGAAAAGTGAGGAAGAGGAAATTCAGAATTCCCTAGAGATCAACTCTTAAAAGGCAGACAGTGTGCCATTTTCTAGAATATAGTCTGCCAGTCTACATAGACTGCATAAACCAAATAATGCATTACAGTCAGAGTTACTCAATAGTGGCTGATACAGCTTAGCTATGCTTTAGCTTGGAAGTTCACTGCTGTCTCAGGAGTTTCTAAAAATTCACTGAACTCAGCTGCCAGGACCCATTCTTACCTACAGTGATTGATGCAATGTTTTGACACTGCTTAATTTAATTTTTGTGTATATTCCTTTTCTATTTTTTTAGTGCTCAATCCTGAATATTCCTTACTCAGACAAGTAGGCTTATTAAAGACGGTGAGGACTATTCACTTGTTAGAACCGGCAAGACTAACAGTATTTATAGGTGCTTCACGCTAGCCAAAGTAAGGAACTCAGCGAATAAATACATTTGTTTTATTAGCAATAACCAACTAATTCAACTTCACGGAGGTAGCTGTAACTGGTTTTCTAAAGGGGCAACATCTAAAGTCATTAACACTTCAAATGAAGCACCAAAACCAATTTTGAAGAGGTGACATTGAGTCTATTTGCACCTGTTAAGATTTTATTTTACAGTGACAGGTTTACTGAGTCCAGTTTCCTGTGGACTTTTAGGGAAAGGAGAAAAAACATCTCATGAAATAAAGGGCGAGATCTTGTGACAAGATAGAACCAAAAGGGGACAACCTCTTACTACTGCTCAACAAGCAGTTACTCCACACTACCAAAATATAAGTCCCCTTATTTGTATATACAGCAGTGTAGAAGGAAACACGCTCCATTTTGGTTTAACAAAAGTAAAGCTTAAATGGTAGCAGCAGCCTCATTTGACAGCTTTTACCCATCCAGCATTGAAAGGCTGTTGCTTTGGTTATATCATGAAGTAACCAATTTAATATTTCAACAAGGACATTAAAAACAAAATGCTTGTGTGAGTGAATTTCAAGTCAATACTGAAATACAGGCAGTCCCCGGGTTACGTACAAGATAGGGACTGTAGGTTTGTTCTTAAGTTGAATCTGTATGTAAGTCAGAACTGGCATCCAGATTCAGCCGCTGCTGAAGCTTTGGTTATATCATGAAGTAACCAATTTAATATTTCAACAAGGACATTAAAAACAAAATGCTTGTGTGAGTGAATTTCAAGTCAATACTGAAATACAGGCAGTCCCCGGGTTACGTACAAGATAGGGACTGTAGGTTTGTTCTTAAGTTGAATCTGTATGTAAGTCAGAACTGGCATCCAGATTCAGCCGCTGCTGAAACTGATCAGTTTCAACAGCG